AAAAAAAAAAAAAGGTAATTGCTAATGTTATGTGTCTGTACATGAAGGGTTTATAAGCACATATGAATCCAGTGGAGAACTTAAAGATGTGTTCCTCTGAAGGGAAATGATGCTTGAGCTGAATCTTGAAATAAAAACAAAAGTTGTTAAGTACTATGGAGTCAGTTCTGACTCACAGTGTTTCCAAGGAGTGGCTGGTGAACTTGAACCACCGATGTTGACATTCAAAACAGCACCACAAGTTAACCAGGTGCTATCAAGAAGAATAAGAGAGTAGCAAAGATACTTGATTGAGATCAATACGGATTGAGAGAAATAGTAGTGTTGCTGTTAAGGCAGTCAAGTCGACTCCTACGCATAGTGATCCTGTATAGGATTTCTAAGGAGCATCTGGTGATCTTGAACCGCCAACCTAGCAGTCTGAACCGACTTTGCAGTCCAGCGCATTAACCCACAGCACCACCTCAGGACTCCTGAGAGAAATTACTACGGGCAAACAGTGGGGGGGTTTCTAATCTGTAAAGTTCAGGAGGGAAGCGCAGGACCCATCACTAAGCATCTTGGATAAAAGAAAGGGGACATTATGACTATTAATAATAACAATAGGAGCTCTGGTTAGGAGTGGTTACTTCGAGGTCAGTGGTCGGAAACTACCAGCGGGAGAAAGATGAGGCTTTTTGCTCCCGTAGAGATTCACAGCTTCGGAATACAATTGCCCAGGGGGTCGTATTTTAGTGGGGATACAGGGTTGCTATGAGTCGGAACCGACTCGACAGCACTTAACAACAACAAACTACTACTAATAATTCAAAAGTGGCATGATTTTTGAATCATGCACCTACACTGCCATGATTTCAATTCCAAACTACATATTCCTTTGCAACAACAAAAAGCTTATCACTCGGGATCTCCTCAAAGTTGGAAAGCAATAACAGTTTCATAACTCATATATGAGTTATCGTATAAACGCATACTAGATCATTGTGAAAATTAACATCCGGAGCTCCCCCAGGAAACCAGGAGGGATAGAGCACCAGGTCCGCCGGAACAAGTACTTAGTGGCGGTGGAATGTGGGGACGTATTTTTGCAACGGACCGAGGAGAGGAAGTTGCTACGCCATCGAGGGACCCCAGCTGCCGGCTGCGGTGGTAATGCTGCGGAGTTGACCTGAGCTTTAAGAGTCTCAGTTACTTGGACACTGTTATTGCAGGTTGCAGCCCTGGGACTCAACCGATGGCGATCTGGGCTGTCGCCAGTCTGGGCAAGGCCGCTGTCCGCTGCTTGCGAGCGCGAGGCCTCGGAGCCCGGGCTGCTTCTCAGCACGTTCCCTTGCCTTCCCTGCCCGACCCCCTGGGCAATTGCCCCCCTCCGGGCAGGACGCTGCACCTCACAGCCGCTGCCCTCGCCGGGCACAACAAGTGGTCCAAAGTCCGGCATATTAAGGGTCCCAAGGACACCGAAAGGAGTCGTATCTTCAGCAAGCTCTCGCTAAGCATCCGCCTGGCGGTTAAAGGTGAGAGCCTGACGGTCATTCATGGGTACTGGCCGCCGCCACCCTCTTGGTGCCACCGGCCTTGCTTGCTTCCCGGAGCGGGTCCAGGGCTTACCCCACTAAAATACGAAATAAAATTCATTGCCGTCGAGTCGATTACGACTCATAATGTATTGTGTCCTACAGAGTACAACTGTCCCTTAGGGTCCCCAAGACTGTAAATGTTTACAGAAGCAGACTGCCATATCTTTCTCCTGCGGAGTGGCTGGTGGGTATGAACCGCCAAACTTTTTGGTTATCTGTCGAATGCTGTAACCACCGCGCCACTAGGACTCCGCACCCTTCCACCAAAACCCACGACCACCCAGTCGGTTCTGACTCATTCTGACCATACAGGACAGTGTAGAACTGCTCCTTAGGGTTTCAGAAACTGTAAATGTTTATGGGAGCAGACTGCCTCATCTTTCTCCCTTGAAGTGGCTGATGGGTTTGAACATCTGATCGACCTTACTGCTTAAACCACTGCACCACGAGAACTCCTCATCCCCATATTGTTGTTGTTAAGTGTCTTTGAGTCGGTTGACTCACAGTGACCCTGTATAGGGTTTCCAAGAAGCAGCTGGTGGGTTTGAACTACCAACCTTGCTTTGTGATTAGTAGTCCAGTGCTGATCCTACAAGACTCCTCTCAGCCTGTTGGTGGCTATTATTCTCCTTTCTCTCCCTAATGCCTGTTGCTTCCCACCTCGTAAACCCTCAAAATGGTGTTTATGTGCTGTGGAGTCGATTCCGACTCATAGTGACCCTGTATAGGGTTTCCAAGGCTGTAAATCTTTATGGGAGCAGAAAGCCTCATCTTTCTCTCGCAGAACAGCTGGTAGTTTCGAACTGCTGACCTTGAGGTTCACAGCCCGATTCGTAACCACTACGCTACCAGAACTCCTTAAATACCTACCTAAATTGACTCCTCCCTTTCACCTTTTCAGACTAACCATCTGCCAGTTTTCAGAGAGGGTCTGTTTTTAGGAAGATGAGATAGTAAATGTGACTTTGTCCTTGTCTGTAGCTAGATAGTTCATAGAAACAGACCCTAAGAGGTCAGATGTACGCCTCTCCTGGAGAGACAAACCAAGCCCTCTGCAGCCACCTTTTGTAGCATATATAGGTTGGGGCAGGGACATTGAGTAAAGTTATTACTTTACTAATTTAAAGTTATTACTTTAAATTACCTAATTTGCTTCCTTAGGGTTTCCAGGAACACATGGCCTTAGAAGATGCTTGCTCCCATTTTTTTTTCGGTTGTATGCCATGGAGTCGGTTCCAAATCATAGCAACCCTGCATAGGGTTTCTGAGGCTGTAAATCTCTATGGGTGCAGAAAGCTTCATCTTTCTCCTGCGGAATGGCTGGTAGGTTTGAACTGCTGACCTTGAGGTTAGCAGCCTGACTTGTAACCACTACATGTCCGTCTGTTTTGCATTTGGTGTCAGACTTCTGTAGGAGTGGAGAAAAAGTCCTATAAAAAGTGTGGACTTCAGAGTGAGGAAGACTTGGTTTTTGTCACTGTTTGACCTTGAGAAAGTAGTTTACCCTTGCTGAGTTTCAAATCCTTATCTATAAAACAAGCAGCCCTGGTAGCAGCTGTAGGATAAGCACTGGACTGCTAACCGCAGGGTCTGTAGTTCAAACCCATCAGCAGCTCCATAGGAGAAAAATGAGCTCCCATAAAGCTTTACAGCCTCAGAACCCCCTGCATGGTCTCTAGGGGTTGGAATGGACTCAATTGCAGTGGCTTTGGTTTTGATGAGTTTTTCTGGGAAACAAAGTTAAGGCCCACCTGGAGGTTGTTTCTGGTACATAATAAGCATTCATTAAATCTATTTATCCCTAAAATTCATTAATGATACTTTCACTTTGCTTTCTTTTCTGTAAATTCTTGATAGTGAGTTTGACCAACACTTGTTGTCAAGTGTTGTCGAGTCAGTTACAACTCACAGCCATCCTCTATAGGGTTTCTGAGGAGTAGCAGGTGTGTTTGAACAGCCAACCTTGCGGTTAGCAGTCCAGTGCTTATCCTACAGCGTCATACCAGCAACCAAGACTGTTGTGTGTTTATTCTGTGCCAGGCACTGGTAAAATAAAGATGATGGAGTACAGCCCTACCTAAGAGAGAGTGTACAGGATTAGAAGAGCATCAAGTGAGCACCTCAATCATTGTACACAATGCAGTAGAGTGAGAACAGGGGTATGAGTAAGTCAGGGACACAGTGGTACCATCTACATCCCTTACCCTCTTAATCTAGGTGCCGTTGAATCAGTTGCGACTCATAGCGACTTTATCCACTACACAGGGAAACAGTACCCAGTCCTGCGCCATCCTCACCATTGTTATGCTTGAGCCCAGTGCTACTGCCACTGTGCCAATGCATCTGGTTGGGGGTCTTTCTCTTTTTCGCTGACCCTCCACTTTACCAAGCATGTTGTCTTTCTCAAGGAACTAATCCCTCCTGATAACATGTCCAAAGTATGAGGGAGACTAAGTCTTGTCATCCTGGCTTCTAAGGAGCATTATGATATGCGTCTTTAAAGGCAGAGTAAATTAGAAACTTCTTTTCCAAAATACTATCCCCTGCAGACACGGGCTACAACGTTCTACACTAGCTGGGCGCTAAGTGGTATGGTGACCTACTTCCTTTCAACCAGGAGGTTAGGGAAAACCCAAACCAAATTCTTTGCCATTGAGTTGATTCCAACTCCTAAGAACGCTATAGGACACAGTAGAACTGCCCCATGGTGTTTCCAAGACTGTCATCTTTATGAGGAGCCCTAGTGGGGCCCTGTGGGTTAATGTACTGGACTGCAAGGTTGGTGGTTCAATCTCACCAGCCGCTCCTTGGAAACCCTATACAGGGGCGCTATGAGTAGAAAACAATTTGATGGCTTAACAACAGCAATCTTGATGAGGCGCACTGCTTTAGGATAAGCACTGGACTGCTAACCACAAGGTTGACAGTTGATACCCACCGCTCCAAGGGAGAAAAATGAGACTTTCTACTCCCATAAAGATTTGCAGCCTTGGAAACCCGATGCAGGGGTGCTATGAGTCAAAACTTCCTCAAAGGCACCTAACAACAACAGCAATCTCTATGGAAACAGAATGGCACATCTTCCTCCCTCAGAGTGGCTGGGAGATTCGAACCTATGAACTGTCAGCAGACACATGTTTCATTATTGTGCCACCAGGGCTCCTGAAGGGAAGGAGATTAGGGAAATGACTTGTTAATTGCCGACAAGTCAGTTCCTACTCATAGCACCCCTGTATAGGGTTTCCAAGGAGCCGCTGGGGAGATTGAACCACCAACCTTGCAGTCCAGTGCTTGTCCTACAGCACCACACCAGAACTAGAACTCCCTTTTTATCTTCCATGCTGAAATGAGATCTTTTCACCTACTTTTCTCTCTCTCAGAGGGAGGCCCCAACCCTGAACTCAACAGCAACCTGGCCAACATCTTAGAGATATGTCGCAGTAAGCACATGCCCAAGTCAACAATCGAGACAGCACTAAAAATGGAGGTATGTCCTTAGTTTGCCATTTGTGTTATTATTCACAGCTCCACAGGGTCCATGTCTGGAGGGTGTCCAAACACTTGTTAAATTGTCTCAGAGATGGGTGGCAATGAGGCTCTGGAGACTCAATCTCTGCCATCGGTTGCAGGAGGACAAGCAGGAATAGGATGGACAGATGGTGTCCAGGGCTATTGGCCTAGGACTGCTCAGCCCGTTTGTGAGGAGTTAGGGCATAAAAGCGGTCTTGGCACAGTTGAGGAAGGGTCTGTGTATGCCATGATGTAGAAAAGGAAAGTGTGCTGGTGGTCTTGATGGTGGGAGGGACAAGGATATAGAATCCAGGTGTGGGAGTTGTCTTTGAATGTAGGTGAGAGGAGACGTCTTCTTCTGGGGCAAGTATCGAGCATCATAAGGAAGTAATCATTAGTCTGTGCCAGACACTTTGTTCAGAATTCTGCATGCACTATCTTATTGAATCTGCAAAACAGTTTCAATTGGAAACTGAGGCACAGAAAGATTTGGTGACTTGTCCAGTTTCACACAGAAAATGACAGACTTGAGACCAGACAGACCTTCAGGCCCTGTGTTGTAGCCTCCCTGTGCAGATAGGTGGTGGGGTGTCCCTGGCCTGGTGGCCCTTTCTCTCCTTTGTGGATGAGAAAGGGAGACATCATCAGTTGAGAGTTCTTGGGAAGACAGTAGGACAGGGCACTTGGACAGTAGGGAAGCTCCAAATGCAGGAGCCAAGGATGAAGGGACTCCTGCAGGGTCCACATGAGACTGGTCACCAGGTCTTGTTAGTGTCCACCTGAATTTTGAGACCATACTGTTGTTAGCGGCATTTAGGGTAAGTCAGGTCCAGGTGTGTGATTTTCCCCACAGCAGCAGTCAGCAGCCCAGGGATAGGAGGGAAGCACCTAGATGAATGGCTGAAGGTAGACCTGACGCTTCACAGGTGGGTTTCCTGCAGGAAGAGGGGGAGGAGGTGGAATCTTGATGAGGGTGACTAGGGGGTGGAGGTGGGATTCAGCTGGGGAGGTGAGAAAGCAGAGCTGATTAGTTGTTCAAAGACCAGGAAAATAGATTCACTCCCAAGTTGGGGGTTGTACTTCCAGTGACCTCAAAAGTTGGTCCCAAGGGCCACCTCTCGGAGGGTAACAATACAAACAGAGACTTGAGAGCCCAGGCATCAGCCCAGCCAAGGAGCCTACCGAGCGAGCAGTGCACTTTGTAGTATCTGGTATGAGAGAGGGGAGCAGGAAACTGTACTGTATTATGTGTTTTAGAAAGCCAAGGACATTTATTTGCTGTATGAAGGTCGAGGCCCTGGTGGCTCATCTCTGCTCATTGAGGCATTCTCTAACAGCGGCTCCAAGTGCCTTTCGGACATCAGACACATCCTGAACAAGAATGGGTAGGTGTGCAGACGAGAGGTGGAGGGAGATGAAGCCTTTTGCTTCCAATTCTGTGCAAAGAAAGTCCTGTTGCTCCCTAGTGGTAGTTCCGATTGTGAGCACACTTAGTCCTTGGTGGTGGTGGTGTTCTGTCTGTCAAGTCAGTTCTGACTCACCATGAGCCTGTACAGCTTTCCCAAAGCTGTAAATCTGAACAGGAGCAGAAAGACTCATCTTGCTCCTGTGGAGCAATGGATAGATTCTAACTGCTGACTTTTCAGTTCATAGCCCAACTCCTCACCCACCATGCTACCAGGGCTCCTTGTTTAATCCACAGCAGAATCCAAATGGCATAATTTAATTTCTCTGAATGGGTTCTGGACTGGGCATGAGCCAGAAGATTTGTCCATTGGATAGAGAAGGGGATCTTTGTCTTATTATTGCATTGGTAGCTATTTCATGTCCAGTTCTTAAAATATGGAGTCCTAATAGCACAAGGAATTCATGAGCAAAGTCTTTGCATCCTGCAATCCCCAATCAAGGCAGAAAATAGAGGGTGAAGGGGGCCTCTTGCACAGGAGCAACTTCATCTTCTCCGGGAAGAGAGCTGCTCAGTGTCAGTACCTCCTCCAGAGGCAGGGGGACAGAGACAGGGTTAGAATGCAGTGCATGGTGAAGGAGGTGTGTGTAAAGGCCCATTTCCTTTCCTGTCAGAGGAATGATTGCCGAAGGAGCTCGTTACTCCTTTGACAGAAAGGGAGTGGTCGTGGTTGGAGTGGAGGACAGACGAAAGAAAGCTGTGAACCTAGAGCGCGCCCTGGAGCTGGCCATTGAAGCCGGAGCTGAGGATGTTATGGAGACCGAAGACGAAGAGGAAAAGAACATGTTTAAAGTGAGTACAAAGTCTTTGTGTTTGGCAGGCTTCCAAGAGGGCCTTAGCAGACACTTGAAGGCAAGCTTCCATTGGTACCTTTCTTCCTGCATCCTGGATACAGGTGAGACAACTCACACACTGGATATTGGATAAGGCTTTCTCTACTGAGGACAATGAGAAGAATTCAGAAAATTGAAAACCTTGTCTTGCCAGTTAAGCGTTTAAGCCCAATGGTCCATGACAATAGTTCCATGCAGGCTTTGTCTTGTTAACCTCCTGTCTCCTCACTTCCTGCTTTTGCTTTGTCCCTAGTTCATTTGTGACACCACTGCATTGCATCAAGTGAGGAAGAAGCTGGACTCCCTAGGCTTGTGTTCAGTGTCCTGTACATTAGAGTTCATCCCCAACACCAAGGTGCGCTTGGCTGACCCCGACCTGGAGCAGGCCGCCCATCTCATCCAGGCTCTTGGCAGCCATGAGGACGTGATCCAGGTCTATGACAACATTGAATAATCTGGCTGCATGTGCCCCAGCTCTTTTCCTCGACAAGCAGCAGCCCATTCAGGAGCACAGGCTTCTGAGACTGATGCAGGAGAGGGCCCTGGCAGGTTAAGAGGCATAAGGCCAGGATCCCTAAGGCCTAAGGGACTCTCCATGCCTCCATGGAGCCTCATTGTCCAATATGCGGGTGACTCGGCCCTCCCCGGTGGACTCCAGCCAAGCAGGAAGGTGACCCTTGCAGGGAGGGGATTGTAGGTCTCCTGAGGGTCCGTGTACTAGAAACTGCTCTGAAATAATAACAGTGATTGATCATAGTTGCTGCATGGTTGTATGGCTCTTGGGTTTTTCTGGGTTAGTGTCCAGCTACTGGGACCCTCTTGACTTCCAGTTTATAGGTTAAATTCTACTGCTCCAGTCCTTGGACCAGGGTTTGTTTTTTTGATTGGCCATAGAAATGCAGCTCTCTTCAGGCACTCTGTAGTTTAATGCTACTCGAATGGCCTACACCTACCATCCATTCCTACAGTAACACTTGGGAAACGCCTACTGTGTTCATGTGCCAGAAACTGAAGTTACCAACTGGTAGCCGGTGAGCCAAGACATAGGACCTCAGAGGAAGGGAAGGGTCAGGACTGCTCTTTGCTGGGCTGTCACAGGGCATTGGGAGTGTCCCTGTTTTCTCAGTGTAGCCACTGTGTGTCCTTCTTCCCTAGAGAGCCTTATGTTCCAGCCCAGTAGGATATAAGGGCCAGTGATGAGGGACACCCTGGGCTATGCTTTGCTGTGGCTCCTGTGTGTCTGAGATTAGGCTGAGTGGGCCTGTCAGCAGACTGGACTGTTCTCAGGAGAGGCAACACCAAGTTGGGTTTGAATGATCTTTGACCCCCAAAACACCCAGCCCTAGTTCCTCCTCATCCGGGATGCCAGATGATGGGCACTGGGAACAAGAGAGGAAAAGAGAACAGGAGGATGAGGGACTGGGTCAGAAGCCTGGCCCAGAGGGAAGTGGGGCTCCTGGTTCCTTTTGCTCCCAACAGTCACTTTGAGATCTAGAGTGGCCAGAAACGCTCAACAGCTGTGCTGGATCCTTTCCTAAGCAGGAGGCTGGAGGCCTCGGGCTTTTGAGTCTGTTCTTCCCTCACATACCACATTTCATTGTGCTCCACATGATTGAGTTTCGAAGCTACTGCATTTTTTACAGATTAAAGGTTTGTGGCAAACGTGCATCAAGCAAGTCTATAGGCGTCACTTTCCAAACAGCATGTGCTCCCTTTGTATTTCTGTCACATTTTGGCCATTCTCACAATATTTTAGACTTTTTCAAAATGCTATTTATTGCACATTTAATAGACTTTGTTGTTGTTAGGTGCCATCGAGACGTCACTGACTCTTAGCAGAGCTATGCACAACAGAACGAAACTGCCCCGTCCTGTGCCAACCTCCCAATCATTGCTATATTTGATCCTGTTGCTGCTGCTACTGTGCCAATTTATTTCATTGGGGGGGTCTTCCTTTTTTTCTCTGACCCTCCACTTTACCAAACATGATATCCTTCTCCAGGGACTGGTCCCCCAACTAACAACATGTCCAAAGTGTTAAGAGACAAAGTCTGGCCTTTCTGGCTTCCAAGGAGTACTATGGATGTACTTCCAACACAGATTTGTTTGTTTTTTTGACAGTCCATGGTACTTTTAAATATACTTCTCCAACACCGTAACTCAAATGCTTCAATTCTTCTACAGTCGTACTTATTCACTGTCCAACTTTCATGTGCATTTGAGGTTATTGAAAAATACCATGACTTCAGTCGGGTGCACCTTAGCCCTCAAACTGACTTCATTGCTCTTCAACACTTTAAAGAGGTGTTGTATAGCATATTTGCCTAATGCATGACGTCATTTGATTTCTTGACTAATGGTGCCATGAGTGTTGATGGTTGATCCGAGCAAAATAAAGTCTTTGACAATTTCAATCTTTTCTCCATTTATCTTGATGTTATTTATTGGTACAGTGGTGAGGATTCTTATTTTCTTTACATTGAGGTGCAACCCATACCAAAGGTCTTTGATCTTCCTTAAAGTATTTTAAGGCCTCTTTACTTTCAGCAAGCAAGGTTGTGTATATTATCTGCATTTAGCAGTTTGTTAATGATTGTCTACCTCCAATCCTGATGCCACATTTTTCTTCATATAATCCAGCTTCTTGGATTATGTGCTCAGCATAATTGAATAAGTATGATGAAAGAATACAGCCCTGGCACACACCTTTGCTGATTTTAAACCATTCAGTGTTCCTTTGTTCTGTTCAAACAACTGTCTCTTGGTCTATGTATCATTCCTCATGAGCATAATTAAGTGTTCCGCAGTACTTATTCTCTGCAATGTTGTCCATAGCTTGTCAAAATCCACACAATCAAAATCCTTTGCATAGTCAATAAAGTACAGGTAAGCATCTTTCTGGTATTCTCTGCTTTCATCCAAGATTCATCTGACATCAGCAATGATATACCTCATTCCGTATCTTTGTCTGAATCCGGCTTGAACTTCTGGCATTTCTGTCAATGTACATTTGCAGTCGTTTTTGAATTATCTTTAGCAAAATTTTACTTGTATGAGATATTAATGACTTCCGCATTCCGTTTGGTCACCTCTCTTTAGAATGAGCACAAATATGGATCTCTTCCACTCCGTTGGCCAGCATTTTAACTATTTTTTAATAGACTACTAAATCAAAAAATACCAGTGCCATCAAATCAGTTCTGACTCGTAGCTGCCCTACAGGACAGAGTAGAACCCCTCCCTAAGCAGTGTCTAAGACGGAATTTTTACAGGAGCAGACTGTCTCATCTCTCTTCTGCAGAGTGGTTGGTGGTTCAAACCTATCCACCTTTCCGTTATTAGTCTGCTGCTTAACCCACTGTGCCACTGGGGCTCTTTAGTAAACTACTGTATCATGTCAGCATTTAAAAGTATTGGGAAATAAATCCAGGTGACAATTGGGACATCTGCTTTATCAAGGTGGTCTGGAATGAAACACAGGACATGTCCGAGGTCTGCCTATACTCACATTGTAGGAACAATTTGTGACCTTAGGGTAATTCTGAAGGAGCTTGAGCTAAGTGAGGATGGAAAAGAACTAAAACCAAACTGATTATAAATGATAACTAGCTCTGGGACAACATGACCAAATCCAGAGTGGCTTCAGCTGCTGGAGAGCAAGGACTAGGGTCAAACCAGAAAATAAATCCATGAGCACATCCTACAAATCAGAAAATATAATCCATGGTCACGTCCTACACTCCCAGACCTCATTTCATACTTGTAACACTGCCTGGGACTTCTTGTTTTTTTAAGTAATGACTCATCCACTTTTCTGAATTTACATTTACCTGCAGGCTTCAGCAGTAGACATCATTAACAGACCATCTGGGAGTTTATATGCTGCTTTATAATTTATAACTTTCATGTGTGATTTTATTTGATTTTCACCACAAACCTATCAAAGGGGCAGGCCAAATGTTTTTACACAGATGATCTCATACTAAGCAGGTGAGAACAGGTTTGATCCTGCATCTTATCCTGATAAACTTCGGTCTATAAAATAGGTGTTTTAAAAGTTGAATGTAAAGTAACTTGGAGAAATCAGATCATTTAACCTGTGCTATGGGAACTTGCTCTGGAAGGAAACGTGGTTGCTGCATGAATATTCCTCCTCTGTGGTACAAGTAAGAAGCTCAGTCACTGAAAGATTGGGCATTTGGAGGTTCAAGTCCATCCACAGGTACCTTGGAAGAAAAACCTATTGACCTGCCTTCAAAAGTCAAAGCCTTTAACACCCTATGCAGCACAGTTCTACTCTGACACACTTGCGGTCTCCATGAGTCAGAATCAACTCAAGGGCGTTTGCTTAATCTGATAGATTGGATTTGTTAATGTGGCCAATTTTACCAAGGCATGCTTGCAGTCCTGTGTAGTTGGACTCCTGTGAAGGTGGCACTGTACTGACCCCTGGTGGTGGTTTATAGTCTTCCTTGTAATTGGTATGCGAAATCGGGGGAAAACCGGGGAAACCTGTTCTGCTGCCTTGAGATCTGGTAAGGGGAACCTTGTTGTTACGTGTGTGCTGTGGAGTTGGTTCCGACTCATAGTGACCCTATACAGGGTTTCCAAAGCTGTAAATCTTTACAGGCGCAGAAAGCCTCATCTTTCTCCCATGGAACAGCTGGTAATTTCGAACTGTTGGCCCTGAGGCTCACAGCCTGATAGAACTCCCTAAGGGGAACCTTAGATACATAAAAAAGTGGTCACATCCAATCTGATGCTGCCACTAAAAAATGTTTTTCAAAGACTATTTCAGGTCAGAGAAAATGTTTATGATAATAATGTTAAGTGGGAAAAAAAGGGCAAAGCTTAGAATACCTAAAATGGGGCTATACCGTGCCCAGTGAAGGAGGCTTCCTCTGGAGCCTCTGCATTACATAAGACCATAGGGGGATTCCTGAATCTTCTGAGGTGGGAAATTTCCAGAGTCTTCTGAGGTGGGGAATTTCCACTTGAAAGGACAAGCAGACTGGCTTGGAGCAGCTAGAAGAACAGAAGATACTTCTTGAAAGACCTACAGGAAAAATACAAAACAGTAACAGCAGTCCGACTGACTACTACAAGAACAAGCATGTTGCTTGCCCAGGAGACATCAAGGCAAGTGGTCGGGTCCCTTCAGGGCAAACCCCCTTCCAAGACTAAGACTCAGTAGGAATACATGAGCAGGCATGTGCTCTGACTGATGACCACGCTGGTCACCAATAAGGGGAAGTGAGGGAAAAACAGCAATGAAGCAGCAAGCTAAGCCCTACCACGTTCAATAGACTCCTGTGAACCCAGGTGGAGACCTGGTTGGCCAGCAGTGTGGCAAGACCTGGGGACCCTTGGGCCCAGAGTGTGACATAGCCACAGAGGACTAGGGTGGAGAGTGAAGCATCCAGCTGATAAGAAGAGAGGGCATATGCACAAGAA